AACGAGTGCACAGAAATAAGGACCACATTCAATGCATCTGTCACAACGGGGACTTGATTTATTCATGCACTGAAACCAATACAATTCATGCATCGATTGTCCTATGTGCACCTTCATTCTGGATGTGTCTGACCGCAACTACGACCAGCCCTGGATACAGAAAGGCCACTACCACAAAGAGGACCGGAGGGGGGGGCGGGGGGGGAATCAGGACAGCGCAAAAAAAGAGTTTTTTAGCAAAAAAAGAGCAAAAAAAGAAAAGAAAAGAAGAAAGCCCAGCAAACCTAGGCTACCAGAGTGGCACGGGACCACATGCCCAGCCGAGCCAAAAAAAGATAAAAAATTTACAAATGTAAAAAATATATTTTATTTATTATTTTATTTTAAATTTGGTATAGAATCTATATGTGACCCTGAGGCAAAAGTTGTTCAGTTTATTTTTCTGCATAACATAGTTTGTTTTCGAAAATTTTGGGTTTTTTTTTTTTTTTTTTGCTGGGGCCTTCCACGGGCCTTGCAGGGTCGGGCCGCCCGGGAAAATAAGGTGACCCGGGCAGCCCGGCTGATAGCCTAGCAGCAAGCCAATAACATACCAAAAAAAAAGCAAAAGAAAAACGCAACAGCAAAGTTGAGCACACCAATAGAAGAAAGAAGAAGGGAAAAAAAAATAAAAATAAATCACAAACCAATAGAAGATCAATAACGCTGATTACAAAGATTAGGGGGCTCGTTCGACACTCCTTGGGGTGTCCTCGGGGCCGAAGGAAGTTTCCTTGGGGGTTTTCAAGGAAATTCCCGCCATCGTTCCACCTGTCCTCGGGGACGTCGCCCGAGGACATTTCCTTCGAACGATGTCAGACAAGAAAAAAGAAAAGAAAAAAAAAATCAAATGTGTTTGAGGCCTTCAGCCAATAGGGTGCCGCCACGATCCAGATTCTCGGTTGTAACGTCTCTCTACCCATGTGCCCGCTCCTCTCCGTGAAACGCGGATTCCTTTTGCCCAAGGGACCTCACGGGCAAAAGGAAGAAATGGCTGGGGAATCCTCGGAGCCCAAGGAATTTCCTTCCGAGTGTTTTCACTTTTTTTTTGCCGACTGCATCCCCGAGCATAGGTGGAACGAACAATTCCTCGGGGACTCGGGGACTTTACGCACCCGAGGAGTGTCGAACGAGCCCCTAGATTAGATTAGATTAGATTACAAAGGACTGACAGTTCATCACATGCAATCATACATGCACATCGTAGCCAGTTATAAGCCTGGCGGGAAACAACAGATAGATTATGAATGCTCAACCACATATGTTCGCAGTGGTAACGAATTTCAATAACGCTGAATTCCAAAACACCAAAATCATGGCAAAATGTCTACTTTTCTAGTAGTACTCACCACCAACACAATTCAGTCATTTGACTCATATCTAGACAAAATAAATCTTGTACAAAAAACAGAAGATGAAAGAGGTTCAACGAACTATAAGCCAGTGCCAGATGATGAATGACACCAGCTGGCAATGGCCGCATTGCATCAATGATGCATGCATCTGTCATGCATCGGACTGCGATTACCAATGAAGCAACCCATTTCACAAAGTGATCGCGACCGCGCATACAGATGCATACACATGCACACACTAAACACACAAACACACACGTCATCGACACTGTGCGCACACACATGCACGCACACACACACGTAAGTGTGAGCAAGCATGTGGGCAGACGTGCAACACACACACACACAC